GTTTAACTTTAATTTTAGCCGATCAATTATAACAAAAATCTCAAGAGGTCTTGATTTGTTGCAATGCATTCATCACATTTTCCCACTATAGTTCAGCGCCCAGTTCAAACTGGAGTTGATGCTGACTGGGGTGGGCTCTGAAAGAGCTTGCATCTGCTTCCAGGGACACTGGACTCCTCCTGTAACTGCCTGCACCATAGGTGCCACACTTTATGATATAAAAATATCTTCCTGTGGCCAGCCCTGCTGCAGGGGGGAGTTTGGGGAGTGGCACTCAGAGATAAAGCAGGAGGCCTGGCTGTGCCCTTCCCACCTGCTCAATAAGCAGCCCCCTTGTGCTCACACAGTGGATCCATCCTGGGTCTGCCCACAGTGATCCCTGGCCAGCCACACCACAGGGAACCACCCTGGCATTTCCTGCAAACCAGGGAGGGTATGATAAGTGAATGAGCTGCATGTTGCATGGCAAAGTACTGGCTACATGACAGATGGAATAAGATAGAACAGTGGTAACTTTATGAAGCACAATAAATACACTGCAAGCACTTTTCTGTGTATGTAAACCAGCAAATTAAATCCAGAGGATGCTGTTGGCTTAAAAAGCCAACCAGATCCTGAGTTCCCCTCCTCTAGAGGCCAAAAATTTGAATGAACTAAAGCAATCCGGATCCTATTTGGTTATTCAGCTCTGATGACTCATCTTCCCTGAGCTCTTCTTAGGCTAATGACAAAGAAACAAACACAGGCAGAACAGTATTGAAGGTGGCATCATTTTGGCAAAGTTGCTTTTTCAGGATCTTGCCACCAGGTACTACTTGCACTTCTTGTGTTACCTGTGCCCCAAGAAAGAACCAAAGGTTTAATAGGCAAACTGTGTGGTTTTCTTTCAAGCCATCAATAATTTCTACTTGAGTCCCAGGACAGCCTAAAATTTAACTCAGATTTGATGGAGCTTAAGGCAAATAGCCAGTTAGTGCAGAGTCTGCTCCCACAGACTCTCTCCTTAAATCTGGTGTACCCTCCTCCAGCTGTGACCCAAAATGCTCCATGCAGAAATAGAGCGACACAAGAAGTGCAGAAGCCAAGGGCAGCCTCTGGGGCTGCTCTGTCCTGAATCAGCTACCCTCACCCAGGAGTGGTAATGTGAAGTGGTGGCTGTGATCCCTCTAAACCCCGTGGGTGAGTGAGGGAAAGAGTTACATTGCTAAGACAAGGCCAATAGTGGTGCCAAGAGTGAGAGTCACCATCTCCTGCCCTCGGAAGCTGCCCTCGTCTCTCAGAAACTCCTGCCCTTCTGAGTGTAGTTGGGCATTCTATACCTCACTTCACTTCTGAAGGAACAGAGTGACACACAATTATTTAATGAAAAGCCAATGTTGAAAGCACAATTTTATGACTGAAAACAGTTTAATCGCCCTTGGATGTGATTTTTGGGTGATGAACTGTGTCTTACCCTGGTTTGAATACTTGCATGCCTGTGAGCTTGCCTGCTTCCTTCACGTGTACTGACAACCCTTTAAAAGGTATCACCTCTCCTGACAAGTTTCTGGGTCCCCACCAGCAGAAAGCGGTGCCATCTCGACCTCATAAAAGGGCTTTCCATCCTTCCTCACACATTCCAAAACCTTCTTATCAATAGCAACTTGCCTGGAGGGGGAACGAGCTTAGCAATCCCTCAGCAGAAGGGTCTAGTGCTGCCCACCCACATCGCGAGACATTGCGACGCTAACTGACCCTTTTGTAATGCCGACGCCAAAACAAATCCTGTGATACCTCAGGTCCTCGGCTGGAAAGGTCGGGTCCTGCTGGCTCCAGAAGAGGATGCCGGGGGTCGCACGGGAGAGGGGGATGTGGCCGTGAGCCCGTCGCCGCCTGCGCTTCCCTCCGCCGGGCCCGGGCGGCGCTGGCGGCCGGCGGTGACCGCCGTCGAGGCGGCAGCGAGACACCGCCCACGCCGGGGGTGGCCCCGCGTGGGTCCGGGCAGCGCGGGCGGCGCCCGCAGCACAGAGCAGCCGGGAGCGCGGCCGCTGCGCATCAGCAGCGCCCGGAGATCCCAGCGGAGCCGGGGAGGGATGCGGGCACCGCCGCCCGCCGGGGCGAGACCTCCCCGCGTCCCGCACTGACGGCCGCCCCGCCGCCGTCACTCTCCTCCGGTGCTTGCGGGGAGCCGGCGGCTCCCGGGGCCGCGCAGCCCATGGCCAGCTCCGCGCAGCCCCCGGCGGCGGCGGGGGGCGGCGGCCCCGACGGCGGCTCTCTGGCGGGGGGCGGCGAGACCTTCGGGGACCGCTCCCTCAGCCAGGGCCTGAGCGTGCTGGTGGGGCTGGGGCTCTGCGTGACCATGCTGGGGCTGGGCTGCGCCGTGGAGCTGGGGCAGCTGGGGCAGCAGCTCCGGCGGCCCGTAGGGCTGCTGCTGGCGCTGCTGGGACAATTCGTGGCCATGCCACTGCTGGCCTTCCTCCTCGCCCTCATCTTCGCCCTGGACGAGGTGGCGGCCGTGGCTGTACTGCTGTGCGGCTGCTGCCCCGGGGGCAACCTCTCCAACCTCATGTCGGTGCTCGTCGACGGGGATATGAATCTGAGGTAGGTGCCCCGCTGCCCCTCACCCCCAGCCGGTCGGGGGGCTGCGGCGGCCCCGGGAGGCAGGGAGGGTTCGCTGGGCATCTGCCGCCGGTGGAGCCGGGACGGGCGGGCGGGCACGGCGCTCTGGGAATCGCCAGCACTGCTCTCCTGTGGAGGATGTTACAAGAGCCTGGACACACGTCTTCTGCCTCCTTCCCTAAAAAGCTTGCGTGCCCGCATCCTGGCCGAAGCAGGGAAGGGGGTGGAGGATGGAGAGAGGAGAGCGAACGGGCTCTTGCCGTGAGAAGTGCCCAGCCGGCTGCAGAAGCCGCTTCCAGCGGGGGTTGGAGCTTCCCAGGGTTGCCCCCCGGCCGGGCGCGCGGTGATGGAGCATTTCTTTGGTTCCCCCGGCGCAGCATTATCATGACGGCCTCCTCCACGCTGCTGGCCCTCTTCCTGATGCCCCTCTGCCTCTGGATCTACAGCCGCCACTGGATCAACACGGCCGTGGTGCAGCTGCTGCCCCTGGGGGCGGTGAGCCTGACGCTGGGCAGCACCCTGCTGCCCATCGGCCTGGGGGTGCTCATCCGCTACCGGCACCCCCGCGCCGCCGACCTCCTGGTCAAGGTAGGCACGGCGCGGGGAACGACCCGGGGCGGCAGCGGGGAAGGGGAGCCGACGGCAGGAAGCTTTCTGGTCTCTCCGAACCGGTGTTAGTCTCACACAGGCATATTCAACTGCTTAGGTGGAATACAAAGACTTAAAGTCTTGAAATAAAACGGTGGGGCAGAGAAGGCGAGAGAAAGGGCCGGTTACTCTCTATGCAGCGCACAGGAGGGAGGGCAGCGTGGTGCTCTGCCCCGGCAGGCATCCTGGACCCCATAGCAGAGGCATTCCGTGACATCCTGCTTTCTCCCCACTCTTGCTGCACCCAGGTCAGGCAAAAACAACCTGCAGGCACAGCCACACTTCCTTAAAACATGCAACTAAATTAGCTTAATTGAGAAAGGAAGAGGCACAAGTCCTGAAACTCTTTTTTCCCAGCAAGTCACCCCAAAGCAAAATGATATAGGATGACCTCAGCCCGTTCCTTTCGTGGGATATGATCAAACAGCACCAAAATCCCAGGCCAGGAGCAAACCTGGGAAGGGCAGCGCAACCATGTTTTGTCACGTTGATTCTTTAGCAAGCCTCTACCTGCTATGCTTATCCTTTCAAAATAATAGCCCTCATGTTATCTTTATCTGTTGCTAGATTTCCCTGTGGTCCCTCTTGGTGACTCTGGTGGTCCTGTTCATCCTGACTGGGACCATGCTGGGCCCAGATCTGTTGGCACAGATTCCTGCGTCTGTCTACGCCATTGCAGTGCTGATGCCTCTGGCAGGGTACGCCTTGGGATACGGCTTAGCCACGGTCTTTAAAATGCCCCCACACTGCAGGAGAACAGTATCTTTGGAAACAGGGTGCCAAAACGTCCAGCTCTGCACTGCCATCCTAAAACTCACCTTCTCCCCAGAGCTCATAGGGAGCATGTACATGTTTCCCTTGCTTTATGCGCTTTTTCAGTCAGCAGAAGCAGGACTGTTTGTGCTGGCATACAAAATGTACGGAAAAGACAGCTACAAGCAAGATGCACTTGGTGAAGAGGAAGACACAGACATTTCCTACAAGAAACTGAAGGAAGAGGAGGTAGCTGACACTTCATATGGCACAGTGACCACAGAGGAGCACAACTCCATTCAGATGGAGCCGACTCAGACGGCGCTTTAGGCAGGACAAAGAGGTAACTCCCAGAGACGTGAATGTGTGTTGTGCTTGCAGCCAGGCTGGGGCTGTGCTTGCTGCTGTGCAAGCGGAGCTGCCCAGCCTCGATCATTTGTCCAGCTACTCCCATTGTACAAGGTGATATGTGTTTATTACCATGACAGTTCTACTTCCTCAAAAGTAAAGGTAAGAAAAAAGAAAAAAAGAAAAAAAAATAAAAAGCATCACTGACACAAACCAGTAGCTCTAAAACTTCATGCAAGGAGGCTGCTGCCTGGCTGAGTGCAGCAAGAATAGCTAGAAGGAAGAAACAGTGTTCCACAGAGCCAACACGAACTCAGTGTCAGTTCAGATGACAGGAAAAACCACGTCGCATGTGTATATTTGTGCCTCCCACCTGCTGTAAAAGCATTGTTCTCATTGTTGTCACCACAAATACATGGCGAAGCCGAACCAAACCCGTGTTCTCCGCTGTTTACTCCCTTGGAGGCAATTAAGAGTCGCGCTACCTGGTTCGGCCGGGGAGGTGAGAGGGGGTGGGAGATGGCCCAAGGCCGCGCACCAGGTGGGGATGATAAGGGGCCGCAAGGCCGGCGCCCGTCGGGGGCGAGGGAAGCCCGGCCCCGCCCCGGGGGTATTTAAGGCCACTGCCCGGGGGCTGTCCCGGGTCAGGTGCAATGGCCGAGGAGGCGATGGCGAGCTACCTCTACAGCGCCTACCACCCCTACTCCTACCGCTACCCGCCGCCCAAGGGCAAAGGAGGGGCGGCGGGCGGCTGGCGCCCGCGGGGCAGCGGCAGCAGCTACTTCTCGGGCTACGGGGAGGCGGCCGCCGAGTACTTCGACAACTACCAGCGGGCGCAGCTGAAGGCCATCCTCTCCCAGGTCAACCCCAACCTGACGCCGCGGCTCCGCAAGGCCAACACCAAGGAGGTGGGCGTCCAGGTGAACCCGCGGCAGGACGCCTCGGTGCAGTGCTCGCTCGGGCCCCGCACGCTGCTGCGCCGCCGCCCCGGGCCCGCCGCGCCGCGGCCCCGTGAGGCGGAGCAGGAACTGGGCAGCCCCGCCACCACCAACACCCGCGCCGTACGCTTCCCCCGCACCATCGCCGTCTACTCGCCCGTGGCGTCCCGCAGACTCACCGCCTTGCTGGAGGAGCCGAGCCCGGAGCCGGAGCGGCGGCCGCAGCAGCAGGATAAGGCGGCGGCCGTCGAGGAGGAGCCGGCCGCGCTGTGGGAGCAGCGGGCGGCGGAGGCGGCTGCCGTGCGGGCGAGTTGGGAGAAGCCCCCCGAGGGTGGCGCCGAGCCGCTGGAGCAGCGCCCGGCCGAGCCACTCGGGCAGCGCTCGGCTGCACCCCCGGAGCAGGCGACGGAGGCAAGCCGGGAGGAGCCGGCAGAGGTAGCCCAGGCAGAGGCGGCGGAGCCGTCAGCCCAGGCAGAGGCGGCGGAGCCGTCAGCCCAGGCGGAGCCGTCAGCCCAGCCGGCAGAGCCGCCGGCCTCAGCCCAGAAGCAGCAGTCGTCGGCGGGCAAGACCCGCCTGCGCTTCCAGGTGAGTGTCGGCCGGGGGGGAGCAGAGCGGGGCCGGGCTGGCCCGAGAGGCGCCCGCACCGTCGAATAACATTGTCCCTGTCAGTTTCTGGAACAGAAGTACGGGTACTACCACTGCAAGGCCTGCAACATCCGCTGGGAGAGCGCCTACGTCTGGTGCGTCCAGGGCACCAACAAGGTAGGGCCGGCTCGGATTGCCCGGCGAGCGCTCCTCGCCGCCGCCCTCCCACTGACCCCGGTCTTCCTCACAGGTCTATTTCCGTCAGTTCTGCCGGACCTGCCAGAAGTCCTACAACCCGTACCGCGTGGAGGACATCACCTGCCAGGTAAGGGGTCCCCGCCCTGCCCTAAGCCCGGTCACTCCCTGGCCCGGCCGCTCCCGCCGACCGCCGCCTTCTCCCTCAGAGCTGCAAGCAGACGCGGTGCACCTGCCCCGTGAAGATGCGCCACGTGGATCCCAAGAGGCCCCACCGCCAGGACCTCTGTGGGAGATGCAAAGGGAAACGCCTCTCCTGCGATAGCACGTTCAGTTTCAAATACATCATCTGAATGGGATGGGATTTTTTTTTTTCTTTTTGTTTAGGGCTCGTCAAGAAAACTGCAAGTAGAGCAGGATTTTTTTTGTTGTTGATATTGTTGAAGATACTTGGTGAGATGTAGCTAAGAAAGCATGTAAATAAAAGTATTGCAAAGCATACTCAAATGATCAGGTGGGTTTGTGCTCAGCTTAGAGGGTGCATATTGTAGATTCCGTAACTTGCATAGGCAGCAAGCCTAGAGGTGTATTGTAAATCAGTGATGGCCTTGGAAGCAACTGACTCAGGACTTTGTAGACTCTCAGGTGGAAAGGGTTTCTGTTACTGCTCCTGCTCTTGAACTAATCAAATGCTTGAAGTTAACATCAAATTGACGTCTGTGTAGATAGTAGACCATCCTTCATGATGAACAAAACACCAGTAGTATTTACTTATTTTGCACACCTGTATTCAATGTACAAAGTATTCTGCACCTGTTCTTCATCAGTAGGAAATTGAGAAGTGCAGTGTAAGTACTGAATCACTTCTACTGGTACAGCTGGCCTGCATTTAGCTAAGTTGGTCTTCTTATCTGTAGGTAAAAGACAAAACTTTTCAGGGATGCTCTCACAAAATGCTGAGGAATGGAGTCACATATTGTGGCGATGGTCTCTTGGTAAATGTGTTGCTCATCTTACTTGCACAAGGTTATGGAGGGAAATGACACTTCAGAGGAGCAAGGTGCAGTAATACTGCATCTGCTTGGCTTCCTTTTCAACCTGCAGATGAAGAGCAAGAGCTGTGCACTTGATGGATTATACTTGAAGTGTTTGATCTAATTACAGTTTAGATGCCTGCCATCAGAAGGATTGACACTCCCACACTGCTCTGGGGTTGGGTTTGCAGCTAGGAATTGTACTTGTCCTGTTTGATAGGAATGGCAGAACCAGCACTGGTTACATGCAGATGATGCTCTCTGTGGGCTGTTGGTGCTCTCTATAGGAACACCATGCTTCAGCCAAGTGTTACAAGGTGACTCTGGGACTAACTTACAGCATCACCCTCTGAGCAGGTTCACATGCTAGTAAAACCTACACCACTGCCCCAGTCTACCTTCTAGCTATGAAGCTGGAAAAACTCAGATGAAAACCTACTTTTCTGAGAATGCTACTGGCACTGTTAATTGTTAAATTGAGCATAGTCACCAAGCCTTTTGCAGAACTCTTGAGGTAACGTCTCTTGAAAGAGTGATTTTTATATTTGCTGTACCCAGCTTACTTGAGGAACCATTCCATTAAGTGCTAGAGAGAAGCAGTCTCAGCCCATGCTGTAGAACAGCTTCAAGAGTGATTTTTATATTTGCTATAGCAAACTTGTCTACACCTGTACCCAGCTTACTTGAGGAACCATTCCATTAAGTGCTAGAGAGAAGCAGTCTCAGCCCATGCTGTAGAACAGCTTCAGTGCTAGTTTCTGTTAGTGGCAGCTAGTGTGGCAAACAATATCCTTTGCATCAACGTTTCTGGTTTGAGGGGCAGTGAGTGTTAACTCACTGATGCTTAACTCATCTTGCTGTAAATTCCTGCTTTATTTCAATATGTCCCTTGAACCTGCTGAAGTAGGCTTAATGCCTCAGTGTCAATTTATTGCAAAGTAATTTTATTTATTCTTGCTGCATTCATTATTACAGCAGTGTGAGGCATTCTGGGAAGAAGTAGACCTACTCCCTCCAGAGCAGAGCACAGTTCTATTTCATGCTTCTACCTGAAGTGTTTTCCCTTATATCACAGTAAAAGGAAATATCCCTTGCTTTACCAGTTCACTCAGACTTCTACAGCAAATTCCACCTTTGCCCTATTCAATTTGAAAAGCTGCCCTGCAGCTGGGCAATGTTCTGTTGTAGATGCACATGCCTTGTACTCACTGTAGTTACTGTGATGAGCAGTGGCAATCCTCCAGCTTGAGGAAAGCACCTGGGGCCCTCTGCAGCCACCTGGCCCCACTGCCTCAGTTTGCAGTTGCAGCTGTGATCTGGGATGTCTTTATTTCTGAGCATATTCCCCTCAAGGATGTTCTTCAATGTTTTCCTGCTTGCCTTCCCCATTCTCATGGCTGTAGTCTGGTCCTGATGCATGTGTTGAGAAACTTGACCGTGGTGAGTCTGTGCACCTTGGTAATGAGTCGGAGAACTGCAGCTCTGTGCCATGTCAGTATGAAGTCACGGCAATATGAGCCGCTGGATGCTTCCTATTTACATAGGCATCCTTACAAAACATGGCTTGAGGATTACTTGTGAATATGGTGACTCTTGCGTGATTAGCCCAAAGTGAAATCTAGTACAGCTTAAAGGCTGTCATCCCCACTAACTACAGTCAAAGCAGTACTTGTTTCTGCATGATAACGTGTAGAACAGGCTTAGCTGATGTGAACTGAGCGCTGTGCTTCACTAGCAGCTGATGAAGGCTCCAGGTGGCAGGTAGCAGCAAGGAGGCCACCCCTGCAGCTACTGCAAGGCTCTGTGGCTTGGAGGAGTACAGTGCCGTGGGCAGTCATATTAAACAAGCTCCCCTTTATCCTGTAGCATTCTTCAGTTCCAGAGTAGCTCTACATGTCATCCCTCTTACATAAATATGTTAAATGCTTTTACTGCTTGATGCCCAAGTACAATTCTGTACTTGCTAGCTGCTTTTCAGCTTTACTGCCATGTCATGTCTGTGACAGCACACACTGATTGTGGGCACTCAGCAAGAAGGAAAGCTACTCCTGACCTATTGTAATTATGCAAAGTGGAAGGGTGCCAGTTGTTCAAAGCTATCCTGAACTTGCTCTGTACAGCTTTTTCATAAAGAGATTTTTTTGCACACGTTAGCTCAGTCAGTGCTGTACTTGCTGCATCTTACAGGAGCTGTCTGATGTTTTGTTTGTTTCTACACAGCTTTACCATAGCTTTGGATTTGGCACAGGCCTGGCACCATGTAATGCAGGGTGACAGCTCATGCAGTAGTTGAGTAGTTTTTGAAACGCTTAATGAAATTAAAGCAATATCAAAAGACAGTCATTTAACGTGATTCTGCTCAACAGGGCAGGTTCCACTAGCCATTGTAAATGGAGGAGGATGTGTAACATAAGGCATTACATATATGAATTCAGGTTTGAGTTTCATGAGAAATCCGTTAACAGCTTCAGAAGATGCCTAGAAAAATGCTGCTGCAATGACAGGACATAAAAGGAAAAAAATTACTTCAGGGCACCCAGGCCTCTGTTGTCATTGTTTAATCTGTTTAGCTAAAGTATTTAAACTCTAGCTTGTAAAAATACACAAAATTAGAGATACAATGTCTTTTATTTTTACAAAAAAGCTGGTAAAAGATGATGTAAATAAAAGTGTAATGCATCCCTAAATAAAACTACCTCTCCCCTGTAAATACTTGTTAAATAATAAAGAACACCATCTACAGTACCACAAAACCATCAAAATAATTAAATTTTATCAGGGACAGGGGAAAAAAATACAGTGAATATGAATGTGCCTTGACCAGTTACAGAACTTGTTAGGATAACATAACTACTGTCAGCAGTCCAACAGCGTGCACAGTGCCTTCAATTAATGCATTTCAGCATAATTACATTTCTAGTGGGGCCTAATTCCCCCAAAAAGGCAGAGCTAAGAATTTCAATTCTACATTCTAAACTCTGGAATTAGAGCCCATTAAAAAAAATCACAGTGGGTAGGAGATGTATATAAAAATACTGGGTGTTCCTTTCAAATCACAGGAATTGTGGGACTACATTCTTTTTTTTTTCTGTTTTTTTTTCTTTTTTTTTTTTCTTTTTTTTTCTACAAAATGCGATTGGTTTCAACAGAATCCAGTTTCTTTTATGCTACAGACTTTGACACTGAACTATGAGTATATTGCCTGTTTGCATGTTTTGGTAGTCAGGGTATTTTTTGTCTTTTTTTTTTTTTTCTATAGTCCCAATTCCTTAGGATTCAGTTGAGTCATGAAGATGCATATACATGCATTCAAACTCTTCAAACCCTGCAGGCTACTCAGACTGCAAGTACTGCATGTGACTACCAAGAGGGAATGCTCCCTTCTCCTCATAGCTTTATACACCTACTGTTTTAACAGTGCATTGCACAAATTTACATGAAAAATACTGGTTTTGCACTATACAGTTTCTAGAATATATACAGAATAAAATAAGTTAACTTCTAATGAGAATTGCTGATGGGCAGCATATATCTTTAATATACATTTTAAAGTCTCTGCAGGCAGCTACTTTTTGGTTAGTTGTTATCAGTATTTTAACATAAGCACTGGTCAGAGAACTGAGCAGCATTCCAATAAAGTTAACAGATATATTATTTCTTTTAGAAACACTGGGAAATCCCAGTTTAAAATATTATTAAATGTCCTAACATTTACACACTATGAGGATTAGCTCTAATAAAATAAAATTTCTTCAAAAATAATCTTGCAGCTCTTTTAAGCATGCTCTGAGACCTTATTTAACAATCATCCATACCTTCAAAAAAACAACTGTCACATAGCCATACATTCTAACTCACACACATTATTTCCTTAGAACAGACAACAAAAGCAAATAAAACACTGAGAAGTCAATGGTTTTTGCAGTCATGTATCATTCTACTTGTGTTTGACTGCACATTCTTCATGACATTGCAGTGTCTCATTAGGTGTTAAGCTGACGGTTTTACTGCTGGAAAGCCAGGAAGCCTTGCAGGTCTTCAGCCAAAACAAACCAGCCTTGATTTTAGCCTCATCCCACCTGCGATACTGATCCAACCTCTAGAGGCTGTTTTTGCAAACATCCTTTATAGTTCTGTTACAACAGAAAATAATGCATATGTATGCATTACATTTAAGCCCTTTTCCTTTCATGTAGTTTTTATACATAAATTTAATAAAAAAATACTACTGCCACACAGGCTGCTGTATAGAAAGAGCAGTCAAGTCAGATGTTCACTTCAATTTTCAGGGTTTTACTTGTGATGAAACAGTTTCTTGCTGTGATAAAAGTGTGTTGGTTGTTAAGATT